TGGCTCTTGACTGTGACTGTGACTCCAGCAGGATCCATCGAAGACGCGCGGCAAACTTGGAGACAGGAGCGGCAAGCCGGTCAAGTCAAACATTAGGGGACGTGGGCGGCGAGTGCTTTGCAGTTGTCCACATTACCGTACAGTATGGCCTTCATCCTCCAACCCTCGAGCGCCTGAAAGGTCCTCGTCAAAGGCGGAGAACGCACGCATTCACGATTGTTGCTCAATCGAAGTCGCAGGTCGCTTTCCAGAATGCCGGCCCATCTGCCCGCGTCCGTTGCGCGTCCTTGGCCGAGTCAATTCGCTATGCTACTCGCTCTGCAGTACCTGTCGCTTCGACAATCAGAATCGGCAAAAGAGGCTTCAACTCAAGCAAGATCAGACTTCAACATCATTGCACCTTTGAATCCGGACTCGGATGAGGGAAAAGAGTACGACGAGAAGTTGTGGATGTTCTTGCTGCGGGAGGCTCATGGAATTGAAGGCGAGTGGCCTTCCTTGACGGACTTTTGTAGCGCTTTGGACGCCGCGTGCCCGCTTGTCGTGCTCGCGAGTGAGCAGACAAAGAGGCAAACCTGCTCTTGCACCGAGTACATCGTTAAACAGGTTCGTTTGGTTGGCGTGCGTGGGCGATACGCCAGGCAAGTTACGATACTCAGCCCTCATTTCCGCCCTTCTAGTTCGAGTCATTCGACACCGCACTTGGCTTGGCACGCTTCTTGGATGGTGAGCGAGATATCGTAGCAGCGCTCTCTTCAGCGACAGCAAAGCGCTCAAGTGCCTCCGTTCATCAGGTCTGGAAGCACTTGTGCAGCCGAGCGACGACTCCGGTGCTTCTTCCTCTTCCTCTGCAGAGCTCCTTACTCGACGCTCACGCTTTGGTATTCTCGTGCGAAGGGCAAAGGTGCAATGCAGTCGTTTGGACGACGAGGGTCTCTTGGCGTTGAAAAAGGAGCTCAAAAGCTGGCGAGAGGGGCATTATACCAGACCTTTGAGCGATAGGGAGATGGCATGGGAGAGGTGGGTCAGTATGCGCTAATACGTCGACAAGACAGCATTGACGATACCGTTCTGCCGTGTGTGCCTTCTTGCCCTCAGATACACACAGGCCCGCAAACGAGGAGACTACTCTGCGGCATTCGAGGCACATCACAGATTCTTCGATCTACATCCGAGAGGAGCAGACAGGTGCGTTCTCCCATCATTGCAACCTTGCGCCATGCATCACTCGTACGATCGTCTTTTTGCACGCTTCCTTGATAGTCTACTGCATCAGCATGCCCTCTTGAACCTGGCGCACTTTCACTACGATCACCGAGAATGGCAAGAGGCCAGACATGTGAGGACAGCGCACTCAAATTAGATACAAGGTTGGCGCTGACATGAGCTGCGTGACAGTCGCTCGATGGGGCAATACACGTGGCGCGTTTGCTCTCCGATTCTCAATGCATCACAGCCTGCGACTCGTAAGTCTTCCAAAAGGCCATCCTCAAGTGACACTTCTCACCGAGGCTTTTGCACCTTGTTTGTAGGCTTTCTCGCCGACTAGAAGCGCATGAGCCGGGAAGCTCTCGCAAGCCTCGACCGAATGCAAGACCCCCGTTCGAAGCTGATGATATTTGGGAAGCGGCTCGGGATGTTCACATGGTGCGTCAGCGGTGAAAGCTCTCGCTTACCTCGAGGCCTGTTTGCGAATCGATTGCTGATGCCAACAGGCCATTCCATCGCAGGGAGCCCCACCAGCAGTCGTCTATGGCCGCTTGATGGACGCGGTGTGGGCGTCAAATGCGCGGTCTCAAGTAGGCTCAACAAAGCTTCAGAGTACAGGTCCGGACTTGCCGCGCACCGAAATTGCTTGTACCTCCACATCTATCGCTGCTAGCGTTGCATCTCTCTGGTCCATGATGGGGCATGAATCAGTGGCGGATGCCTGGAGAGGGGTAGCCTTGGAAGAGCAGGGGGACGTCGAGATGCGCCTCGCTGCAGAGTGTGGCGAAGCCTGGAAGGTGTGTTCCTGTTCCTAGGTCCGACCCGATTTGCCGCTCGATGGGCTTACACGAGGCTCACTTTCAGCTGGCAGAGAAGGGCTCTTTCGAGAATTCGTTGGAGGCGTTGTTTCGAGATGACCTAGTGGATGCGCTAGAAGCGCATCTCCTGCCAAGATGGACCTCTCAGATCCTGCGCATTATGTGGCTCAGGGCAAGGCGCCGAGGCGATCTTTTTGCTATGCGCTTCTACACGCTAGCAGATCCCAATGTGGAAGCAGATGTGGATGGTGCGGACGAGGCGAACGGGATTCGATCTGCTAGGCGAGACGAGCAGACAGAGCCGAACGAGCCTGCCCAATTCGACGAACCCTCGGCAGACTCCAAAATGCTTAGCCAACTGAAGCAAGCTCGCACCCTCTTCGTAAGTCCTCCTTCTCACCTCAACGAGGCTTACTTCTCTGACCAAACATATGGCTTATTTGTACCAATTACATGCGGTTTTGCGCTTTGCTACCATATAGGAAGCGGACGCTGCTGCGCACTCGCTCGATCAGTGCTTGAACGTGCTCGTTGCGGCGCAGAAAAGTGGTCGTGCGCGGATCTGGAGAGGCGCAAGAGTCTTGCTGGCAGAGTTACAAGCGGGTCCCCTACAACTGGGAGAGAGCGCTTGTCTTACGATGGAGGAGATTTTACCAGGGGTGAGATGCGTGGACTAGACCCTGCTCTGGAGCCACTCAGCCACTCACTGAGTCTGGACCATTTCACAGTGCCTTGCCGATCATGATGCGGAGCGAAAGGCAGACGCAATGTTTGCCTATGCCAAGGCAATCGTGGCCAAAGATCGAGATCAGGGTGAGCGAACGTGAGGAGAGGCTAGGACCCGATGCGAATGATCCGAATGCTTTCTCCGCCCGCACAGAAGGATCGAAGCGGGAAGCCTTGCAATGGTTTGAACGAGCTTCGCAGCGTAAGTATTTCGAGACTCGAAATAATTGGGGAATCGGGGCTCCGAGTCCGCTGAACCTTTATTTCCGCGAATCTGCCCCTCCCAGAGTACGCCATTGCGGGCGCAAATGTCTCGCAGAGCAAAGCCCTCTATTATTCAGGTAGACTGCTGTTAGAGCTGGGCGAGGAGGAACGAGCTGCTTTGTGCGCCGAACGACTGCACGAGGTCGAATTGACCCTCCAGCACTTGGAGCAGGCGAGCACTCTAGACGAGCTCGATCGCGATGTCTTTGAGACGATGCAGGCTGTGCAAGCTAGGATCGCTGTTGGCAATGCCGATGACCTCTGAAAGGTCCATCCATCGATGCACATCGTTTCACGGCGCCGCGTCCTGCAACATGCTTCTGACCTGCAATGTGACCAAATTCAAAAGTCACGGAGCGGCGGACGAGGGGAGGCTGTGGGGGGGGG